ATCTGCTGGACCAATTTTCATGCGCCCGGGGTGTGGATATGCTCTTTATAAATAAGCCATCCCGCACGTTACCGGGCCGAGGCTGGTACTGCGACAGGACAAGAGGCGCAGCCATTCTGATTCGCAGCGACAAGTTCTCTGTATCTGATACCGGAGGTGGAGACGGGTTCGTGTGGATCAGGTGTGGAAGTGCTTTCTATGTAAGTTACTACATATCCCCTAACATTTCGATTGGTGTCTTCAGAGAGCGGCTTGCCGAACTCAAGGATGCCGTTCGAGTGTGCAAGAAAAGTGGCGATGGAGTCCTAGCCGGCGACTTTAACTCCAAGGCCATCGCTTGGGGGGAGCCGAGAACCGACCTTAGAGGACGGGCGGTGCTAGAGATGGCTGCGAGGCTGGATCTCATCGTCGTGAACTTTGGTGGTACAGCAACGTTCAGGCGACCTGGTAACCGGGGAACGATCATTAATCTCACGCTGGTGTCGTCAGAAATGGTGGAGCGAGTCTCAGACTGGCAGGTCCTGGAGGACTACACGGCCAGTTATCACCAGTATGTCAGCTTCGTGGTAAACGAGGATCGGGGTGCAGGCTCGCGAGATGTAATCCGAAGGCGCATTGCCGGGTGGAACGTGGCAAAACTCGGCCGAGATTTGCTGCTGGAAGCCATGGTTAGCGTGCCACCTCCAGCTGATTTGAACAAGATCACAAATCTAGCGGAGGCCAAGACACTCGTGAGCAGCACTACGAGACGGGTCAAGGAATGGTGCGATGCGTGTATGCCGAAAAATTCTGCCAGGAGGGGTCGAGGGCCGTGCTACTGATGGACTGAAGATATTGCAAACTTGCGCCGGGAGACGCAGCACCTTCGGCGTCTTGCACAGCGACACAGAACTCGCGAAGACGCTGAGGTAGCTGTCGCCGTGTACAAAAACGCAAAAAAGGCTTTGGTGAGGGCGATCAAGGTGAGCAAGAACCGATGCTGGCGCGAACTCATCGCTGAGGTAGATAAAGATACCTGGGGCCTGGGCTACCGTATCGCGTTAAAAAGACTTCGCGGTACGGACCCGACGCCACCGATGGAACTTTCCTTTTTGGAGAAGGTGGTCTCTTGCCTTTTTCCGAAGCATCCCGTTAGGAGGCGAAAGGACATAAGTGTAGGACAAGTGCTTCTCTTTACGCTCGATCAATTAAGGTCGGTGGCATCAGAGACGGCGGAACGAAAGGCTCCTGGTTCTGACGGGGTGCCGTCTAAAGTCCTTGAGATCATAGCTGCGGAGAAGCCACACGTTTTGTTGGACATGTTTAATGCGTGCCTGTGTGTTGGACTGTTCAGCGAGCGTTGGAAGATCCAAAAACTGGTTTTTCTGGATAAGGGCAAAGCACCCACCCTGGTCTCGTCGTCATTTCGACCCTGAGGTATGCTGAACAATGCTGGGAAAATGCTAGAGAGGCTAACAAGAACCCGCTTAAGAGGGGAAGTCAGTACTATTCTTTACAGAATATCATTCCATTAAAATTCTCAAATAATATTATTATTGTTCGTTTTCCTTATTGTTTTTAATTAATTACACTCAAAAATCTGCTTAGTATATGCTACCCTCTAATCGGCAACCTTAGGAAAAATCCACCATTTAAAAGAAAAGGCTTTTATGTGATAAATTGACCACAGCATAACTAGATTTTTTTTGCACTTATGACAATTTTTTTAACAAACATTGTTTTAGGAATCTCTATCTCAGTCCAGCTTATTTCTACAGTACGTTCTACTGTTAAGTATTCTGATATAATTAAAATAATATAACAATAATAAGCTATTGTAATAAAACAACAGTGATACATATACTGAAGTGCTAATATACTCGCAAATTAGATAAAAAAATCTAAATAATGATAAATGTGACAACAAAGCCATGACACTAAAAAAAATCTATGTGAAGATATTAGATTTAAGTATAGTATAAACACATCAACAAAAAACCGTAAAATCTTAGAATATAAACATCAACTTGTACCTGTCAGTCTTGTAATTGGCCGAGCATATCAAGAGCTCCCAGCCCTTAGCTCATATAATAAATAAATTCTAATTCTAATTCTAATATCAACAGTCTTATCAACGGTATAATGAGAAATGCATGGTGTAAAGCTCAATTTAGAGGGCGCCAGGATCTTCCAGTCCTGATTTACGCATGTATTGTATATCCGTATGAGTGTACATACCACTTATATACTATTCATTGGTTACCGATCGGTAACGTAATCATCTTTTTCATCGAAAGTGTTGACGCACACGTATTTACAGTTCTATTCATGGATTTGCAATACATCTAAAAATCAGGACTGGCGGGTCCTGGCACCCTCTGGATTGAGCTTTACACCACACATCTCCTAAACCCTAACAGAAATTTGTAAAGTGCTGTACTAAACTGATGGCACTTGTATTATTTATTTATTTATTTATTTTTTTTTTTTACTAGATTACCGCGACAGCCTAATAGCCTAGTCACCGGGGCCACCCACTCACCATCTATGTGTGGAGGTATATTGACACACAGTGTGAGTATCTCTGGTAAAATACCCTCCTTGTTAAGTTGGCACTCTCTGCACCGAATGGTGCATCCAGTCCATTCGCCACAGCTTTTCTCGAAAAAGACTCCGAATTTCAGAACATCCTCTCCTTATCGGTTAAGCTGAAGCTTTCTATCAAACCATTGGATCCAGACTAATTAATATCCCTGAAGAAGCCTTCTGATGGAAATAGTTTTGGAAAAAATCTGCATGCACCGGGAATGGTGAACACACGCGGCGTAGAACGGTGTTGTATTAGTGCAAGTATCAGTTGGAATTTTCGAAGATCGGAAGTTTAAGAGATATTTAAAGTAGCTTTCAAAATTTCTTTTCTCTTGTGTTTCCTTATTGATAAAGACATCGGCGTGGTAAGAATTTTGGTATTTGTTACTTGGTGGAATCTCAAACGTGTTGCAGCATAGAGAATGTGGCATATTAAAGGCACTTTCTTTTACTAAACAATATGTGGTTTTATGGTAAATTAATAATAGACTTAGCTAACTATTTGTACATAAGGATTGACAATTCTAGATAAAGAAGAGAAGATCGCAGAAATTAAAAAAGTTGGCTAGGATTCGTATCTGATTTTGGTTTATACTTTCTAAGCTCTAAATTACTTAGACAGTAAACTGTTTTTTCGTTTTCAGTAGTCACTTGCGCTCACGCATTATGCAATTAAAATTTGTTAACCAAAAAATGTGTTATTTCACAAAAAATGTCACGAATGCTCACATTAATATTTTTTTCTGGGAAAGATAGGTTTTATACTTTTGATTAAATTCCTTTATCGTTTGGTGTAAAATACCTGATAACAACCTTAATATGACGCACTGAATCACAAAATAACAAAAAAAAAATATATATATAAATCTATCACATGCTCTTACATTCGTATCGGGAAACGATGTTTCAAAATTTGTATGTCTGCTCAGAAGTAAAGATTGCTTAAATGCGATAAATTTTTTAAACGTTTAAGGATTTTTGTACAGCGTTGGTTTTTCCAATGAAGTTATGAGAAAGCTGCCAATCTCAATGGTTTTTGATTACGTAAGATATGTAGCTTAGGTAGGCCAAAAGAAATTGGATCTTAAAAAGTTGGCAGAACTCATGTATATGGAAGCTGAAATGTCATTAGCTCCAAAAGTGATTAAGGTACAAGCAAACAATTATAAATACAGCCAAGAAAAATCAAATCAATCTTCTCATAGACATGTAAGTCAAGGCACAGTTTTTACAACAGCTGTATTGACTTATCATAATGTGCAAGCAAGAAACATAAGAATTGATTTTCTCAGCGTTGTGCGCTTTGTCTTCAAAAAAATCATTTAATAGAAGATTGTGAATTTAAGAAAAAGACTTCAGCTCAGCGCTGGAGATTTGTGCAATCACAAAGATTGTACAGGCTCACATAACAAAAAAAATAGTTTCCAAGTTTGGCATGTAAAACATGTTTTCTTACGTATTTTTTGGTGCTGAATCTGAATCCAAAGTCAGAATGGGAGGTCTCGTGGGGATCTATGAGACGTGTTAAGAAATGGTGCGATGCATGTATGCCGAAAAATTCTGCCAGGAGGGGTCGAGGGCCGTGCTACTGGTGGACCGAAGATATTGCAAACTTGCGCCGGGAGACGCAGCACCTTCGGTGTCTTGCACAGCGACACAGAACTCGCGAAGACGCCGAGGTAGCTGTCGCCGCGTACAAAAACGCAAAAAAGGCTTTGGTGAGGGCGATCAAGGTAAGCAAGAACCGATGCTGGCGCGAACTCATCGCTGAGGTAGATAGAGATACCTGGGGCCTGGGCTACCGGATCGCGTTAAAAAGACTTCGCGGTACGGACCCGACGGCACCGATGGAACTTTCCTTTTTGGAGCGAGTGGTCTCCGGCCTCTTCCCGGAGCATCCCTATAGGAGGCGGGAGGTCATAAGTGTAGACCAAGTGCCTCTCTTTTCCCTCGATGAATTGAGGTTGGTGGCATCAGAGACATCGGGGCGAAAGGCCCATGGCCCGGACGGGGTGCCTTTCGAAGTCTTTAAGGTCATAGCTGTAAAGAAACCAATCGTTTTGCTGGACGTGTTCAATGCGTGCTTACGTTCAATGACTGTTCAGCGAGTGTTGGAAGATCCAAAGGCTTGTTCTCCTGGACAAGGGCAGACCACACCCCCTGGTTCCGTCGTCATTCCGAGCCTCAAATATGTTGGACAATTGCGGAAAAATGCTCGAGAGGCTGATTAGAACTCGCCTAAGAGGAGAAGTCAGCCTCTCGGAAAATCAGTACGGATTCCGAACGGGGCGTTCGACGGTTATGGCTGTAGCCGAGGTTCTTGAGTCAGTTAGGGACGCATGAAAGCCGAGCGTAAAATTCGGTAGGCGGTCGCGATAGTGTCAGAGTGGCTGCGGGATCACGGTTTCGAGCTTGCGATTAAAAAGACAGAGATGGTCGTTCTCACCAGGCAGAGATGGTTCGGGGGGGACTTCCGCCTGAACGTTGCGGGTGAGGTGATCTGCGCGAGTCCAGTGGTGCGCTACCTAGGAGTGTGGATCGATTCACGGCTCATCTTCTGGAAGCACATCAGGAGAACAGCCGACAAAGCCACTAGGGTTTCCCGGGCGCTTTCACGGTTAATGCCGAACGTTGGGAGTCCGCGAGAAACCAAAAGACGGCTTCTTGCGTTGGTCTCTAACTCGATCCTGCTGTACGGCGCGAAGGTGTGGGTGGACGAGCTTGCAAGAAGGGATATCTGGGAGCGCCTCAACTTGGTGCAGCGCATCGGATCGCTAAAAATTGCGTGCGCCTACCGCACAGTATCCTTCGCTGCCGCTATGGTGATAGCACGAACAATTCCCGTTGTGTTGCTTGCGCTGAAGCGGCGAAGGAAGTTTCTAAGCTCCAGCGACGAAAGCGATAGCAACATGTAGGAAAAAATGTTGACGACGTGGCAACAGGAGTAGAGTCAGTCTGGTGTGGGTAGGTGGACTCACCGGTTAATACCGCACCTGCGGCTATGGGTAAAGAAAGGACACGGAGAAATAAATTACTATCCCACCCAGTTCCTCTCCGGGCATCGTCAGTTTAATGCCTATCTCCATCGCATGACGGTGATAGCATCACCCGGATGCACTTACTGCCCTGCGTTGGATGATACCGTCGAACATACGTTCTTCGTGTGTGAGAGATGGTACCATGCGCGCCAGCAGCTGATAGACAGGCTTAGCGTGGCACCCACCCTCGAAAACATCAAATCCGAGATGCTACGCACCGAAAAGGGGTGAAGGGCAGTGGATGGCTACGTCGGGACTGTCATTCGGCGTAAGAAAGAAGAGAAAAGAGCTGCCGCGCAAGCAGGGGCTCTGAGTAGGCTGCCAGAGGTTATCTAGGCACGGAGGTAAGAAAGCAGCTCACAAAGAAGCGCTAGACAAAGGCGCCAGTCCTCAGGGACCTCGAGTCTTTAGGACTCGGGAGAATTGGCACCACTAGCAACTGGTGGCGAGCTTGCTCGCTAAATGCTGTGGGATACAATGTTCTCCCTTGTGGCTCCACCCTGAAGTAATGCTAACGCGGTTGCCTTG